TGTAGATCACCTAGTTGAATATGATTGGTTGATATATTGTGCATCAGAGATCGCTAAAGCTACATTTTTGATGCATAGGATTTTTGGTTGTAATGACGATAAAAATTTTTTTTCTCAACCCTGCTTAAAATGAAAGAGGATTTTGCGGAAGCACAATTAAAAAAATATGGCTGGTCTCGAGGTCAAGGTTTAGGAAAGAATTCTGAGGGAATAAAAGAACCCATAACAGTAATAAAAAAAAATGATAAGTGCGGGGTAGGCATTCCATACAATACTTTTTAACGGAACGAAGGAATCGAATTCAACTTTGTCGTGTGAATAAAATTTTATTTATATTCGATGTTTTTATGAAGCTCGGTGATAATTCAAAAGACTGGTCTTTTGAATGGTGAGATTATACATGCTTGACAATTTTCATAATTCATATTTTCGACAATACTTACATCTTTTTTGAAACACTATAAGGTGGGATCATGTTTATAACAAGACTTTAAACAATATAAAAGTATCAACAACTTTGGATGGGGTAAATATTTATTTGCCTACTTATATTTAATAAATTGTGAAAAAGTGTCTATTGGACCAAGCAGCTGTTTAAAATTAATAGGAAGTAAATGTGACCAAAGTTTCTAAAGAGGCAATAATTCCAAAGAATCGTGTTGGGATCATTAGTACCGAGGAATCAATGTATTCTCTTACTCTTTCCCCAACATTCTTGAATGGTTCGACGGAAAATGATAAAGCGATCTCTTCATCAACATCTGTTACTAGGCATCCATTTTTGTATGATAATTTTGTCAAGAGCTTGACTGGATCATTAGATATGAATAAGTAAGAATATTGTAATATTGTACACTTTTAAAATATCAGGTCTATAATTTTTTTTTAATTGTGTTAGAATAAACAAGAAATCTACAAAACGGAAGATATCTAATAGAAATAATGACTCGAATGAGGGCAACAGGCATCAGATTGAAGACTTACAAGGCATAATTAATATAAAGCCTAACACCGAACGGAAAAGTAAAAAATCGAAAAACAAGAAAAACACTAGAACATTTAAAGATTTGATCCAAACAACCAAACAAAAAAAAAAAAAAATGTCGTATGTTACCGATTAGAAGCAACCACCGAATAAATGCAACCCCCGAATAAATGCAACCCCCATATTTTGGAGCCAAAAATTTGACTAAGGTTGTTTTGTTTTACTAATAAAATTAGACTCGAATAGAAGCAACTCCTTCATTTTGGTCGGTAACATACGACATAGTAGATCATTTGATGACATTATACAATCCAAAAACAAGTTGTTTAATATTAATAAACAAAACAATATATTTAAACTATCCTTTAATTTGTAGATTTTAGCAGGCAAATTTGTCTGCTTAGACAATATAAATTAGCTCTGATTTATTTTTTTTTAATATTTAAAATATTTAAATAAAATTTGATATATATTGTAATATAATGTTGTTAGACTTTTGGTTAACAAGTTATAATACTTGACTAAGTATTTGAGTAGTTAAGAAATATATTTATATATTTTATAGAAGAAACAGTTTATAAATAAAATAAAATATTATTGATTTATTGTCAATGTGACACTCACAATGAAAGATTATAATTAATAATTTATAGATTAAAGATAGATTTTATTAACTTAGATAATATTCAAAAGAATAACACATATAAAACAATATTATAATTTAAGAAGAATAAAATAATTTCAAGAAAAATATCATTATAATAACAGAAAAAACAGATAAAGATTATAATAATATTTAAAGAAAAAAATCAAGATTCAAGATAAAAATTATAAACAGAATATCAAAAATATAAGGTTATAATGACTAAAATATATGGATCAACTATTTCTGTATCTTGAAAAAAATAAAAGGGTTCTTCTAGAATATTAAATTACTATAAAAACATAGTAATTTATTAAGGAAGAGTATCTTTTATTAACAGAAAAATACTTTTTTTTATAGGAAAAGCATATTTTAATATTAGATAGTGGATAGGTATCTTAAAATGATTAAAATAATAGATTAGCTATTCTTTACTAAGAAATAGGTACTTTTTCTTATAGAATAGATATTTTTTACTATAGTATAAGTATAAGTATCTTTTATATAGTAAGAGTACTTTTACCAAATTGAGTTTGTTTGGTTTTGTTTATCTTTTATATTGTTGTTACATTATTCTGGGCTATTTTGAGGTGCTATTTGTGCTCAGTTCTGTTTATATTAAACAAACTTATAATTTAAATAACTAAATAACTATTGCTTTAAATAGAATTCTATAAAAACTATCCTAATAAAATTAATAATAAACTATTATTTGAGTGACAAAATAAATTGTTATAAACTATATAAATAAACTAATAAATATATAAAATA